CCCCCTTCCCATTCCCTTTCCTGCCATTAGAGATGTCCGGCTTGAGTTCTGGCTCATTAAGAAAGCAGCAGGAGGATGGCTGTGAGCCTGCCCCACTAGTCACTGAGACCCAAACCAATTAAAATGCTTCCCATCTCATTCCTGCATTTGCCCCAACCCCCTCCCTCCTTACATCTGAGCAGGTGAAAATAAAACCTGGGCAGCAGAGACTGAAAAGACACCAGTGCTAGCATCAGAACAAGAGAGCTTCTGCCCTCCAGACTCCGGCACCCCCACTGCTTTCGGGTAAGGAGAGGCATAGCACTGGCTTAGTAAGTGGTAACAAAATGCTTCCACGGCCACATTATTACCAGTCAGGGTGACCAAGATGACAGAGCAAAGTGCAGACCTCAGTGTTTGACTAGCTACTCTAGGAAAACGGACCAATGTCTGACAACAGGTGTTAACCAGGACTCCAGTGCTCCTTCAACTGGAGTAGAAAATGGGTTAGTTGCTAATGCAGAATTGGCCAAAGTATTTGAAGGACCCATTACAGAGGGTTTGAACCCCTGTTTTGAAACAGGAATAGATTAAAGCACACTAGGGAACTCTTAGTGTACGGCAGCAGGGTCCACCCAGACAGACACTTAGAGCATGGCAAGTGGGGGGTAAACCTAGGTTTACCCCCTAGCTTGCCGCAAACTAAGTATTCATGTAGACAAGCCCTAAGGTAAATTCTGCATCAGTTTGAGAAAATAAGCTACTGGGGATAACATTTTCAAAAGAGCCTAAGACCTATTTTCAAAAAGAGACTTAGGGCAAAATTTTCAAAAGCACATAGGCCCAGATTTTAAAAGGTATTTAGGCATTACGGCTCTCAGTACTGCAACACCTAATTGATTTAGGAGCCTAAGTCTCCTTTTAATACCATTGACTGTGAATTGGATTTAGGATCCTAAATGTCTCCAACCCTCTTGAAAATGATATTTAGGCTTCTAAATCAGTTAGGAATTTCAATGCTGAGCACAGAAATGCCTAAATACCTTAATACCTTTACAAATCTGGGCATTAGGAGCTAATTGAAAATCAATAGGTATTTGGCTCCTATGTTCCTAAGTCACTTTTGAAAATGGGACTTATACTTCTAAGGTGCTTAGTTGCTTTTAAAAAATTTTCCTTCAATACCCTAAGTCCCATTGATGTTCTGTAAGACTTACATTTTTTAGGCTCTAGATTTTCAAAGGTATTTAGGTGTCAGAATAGCAGATAGGTACCTAGCAGGATTTTCAAAGAAACACCTGAGCTGGTTAAGCACTATTGAAAATCTCACTGGGTGTCTGCTTCTTCAGCTGTCTATATACTTTTGAAAATCTGGCCCCTGAAGTGCCTATGATACATTTGAAAATGGCCGTAGGCTCCTAAGTGACTTTGGCGCTTTTGAAAATTTGACCGTATCAGACTGAGAGGCCAGCCCTGAACTTCAGTATAGAATTTTTAAAATTTAATGGGTGAAAGAGAGTTTTAGATGTTTTAAAGACCTTATGTGTTTGATTTCATTGACTCACTTGGTAGGGACATATAAGAAAGGAAGACCAAAGAATTCCGAAGCGTGTGTACCAAGGAATGCCACTACATGGCCCGTGATCATGTGGCCACCAAAAGCTGTAATAACAGGAGAAGATTGCCAGTGATGAATAGAAACTTAATATACAATCAGACCATCTTAAGCTCCTTGCCAGAGATCAGTACAGGTGGAGCTTGATTTGCAAGGAGGTCATGTCCCTCCCGGATTTGCCAAAAAGGTGATGATCATTTTTCTTGAGTTCAGGAGCATTAGCTTGCTAATTTTAACCCCAGGTTCTTTTCACATCTACTTTTACTTTGGACAGTACTTTTCAAATCAGGACACTCAATTATTCCTGACTAAAGCGAAGAGGTGATTGCTTAAATCCTCCTTGTCATAGAGTGTGGAATGGACTGATTGCTTCCTGATTGAAGCAGAAAGGGAGTTATAGTAACTTATTAACAATATATATTCAGGGCATATTTGACCTCTGTACACCTCACACTGACCAGGCAGCCAGTCCTATCAGCATATAAAGCAGC